TATATGCACAGTACAAAAACAATATGACCCCCAGTTGGTGTGAGGGGATCATAATTAAAGATATCGAGCTAAAAAGTGTAGCTGAGATTCAATTACAACACATATCCTTAGTGCTACTTATTGCACAAAATGTTACATAAAACTTTAATATTAAACCAAATATCTAATATTTGGTTAAATATTCAAGTCTTAAATATAGATGAAACTCTCAGAAACTAACCACTGGGTCTACAGTTTATGAACTTCTTAAGTCAAATTAATTAAAAATCAAAATCAGCCAGAATGACAGTTGTTCACAACATACTGTATGTGTTGGGAGCTAAAGTTTTTTTTTTTACATTTAGCCTAAATCCAACTCGATATGATCTTAGTTCCAAACTTCAGCGCAGAAGGAGGCAGCAGATAAACATTTCTTCAAGGAAAACAAAGTTTTTAATAATTGATGACACGAGCCCTGTCAAACACCGACTCAGGCTCTACAAAGCTCCCCGTGTGATGCTCCATGTCTGTTTTCATGTTACATCTTTACCTTCAACACCCCCCTCCTCCCCCCTGTTCTCCAGAGAAAGAGAGAGAGAGCACTTCATTTCCTGCTCTTATGTTTCCTTCGGTCCATCGAAGCCTCATCCCTGTCATTCAGCGCCTCCTCCTCTGACTCTCCTCTCATCTGTCTGCCAGGATGCTCCTGCTGCACGGGGCGGCACACGGCAGGGAACCAAGCAGAAGATAAGAAGATCGCCTCGGGCTTTTCTTTGACTCCGTTCTGTTCACCAACTCCATCCCATCATATCTCCTTCAGGAAGTCATTTTTTCATTATTTGACTCTTTCTGTGCCATTAAACCATATGTTTGTGCTCATTTTCTATCCGTTCACACTTGTTCCAGCTCATTGTTTCTCTTCCTATCTCCTCCTGCCTCCTCATCCACACACCATCCCTCCTCTCTCTGCTTTTTTTTTATTTTCACGTTCTGATTCTGTATATTTTCATTCTGCTCTGACAGGACCAATGAGAGAGAGCTGAGTCTCTCCACTCCTCAAACACAAGCAGATAGACGGCAGAGGAATGTGCCTTTGTGAGTTTGTGTGTGTGTTTGAAGAGATGGAACTAGGGCAGAAAGTTCCCGTGTCCATCATGCTCAGAGGGCTGCAGGTTTGATTCCCCTGCTACACAGAGTGAAACTCACGCACAAAAAGGCCTCAAACATCAACAAATGTTTTTAAAGCACCTCCAGGATACAGAGATTTGGACCCCCTTCAGGCTGGATTCAGGGTCCCTGGTGGGGCCATGATGTGGCGATGACTGTGATCATGAAAAGGTCTTTTAGATAACTTAGTGCAGACGTGATACTTGTGCTGGTAGCCTTGTGTTGGAGTCTGAGTCGTTCCAGGACTGGGCCCAGTTTTTACCTTAAAAAGATTTTATCACTAAGCAGAGGACTACTTTTACTCCCGGGCCGAGTTAATCAAAACCACAGGTGTATACTAATGAAGTACATTTACTTTGTTAAAGTACTTAATTTAATTTGGTTACATTCAAAATATGATAATTTTTTAAACTTCCTTACTTTAAAATTTAACATTTCATTACTCGCTACAAAAGAGTGTACATACAAGTACTTTTACTTTCCTGGTTATTGTGAGTTTTATGACTTTTACTTAAAGTAGACTTACTGTATGTTTTTAAGTTCTTATTTTTCACATTATATCATTCAGTTAGTGTTTATATAAAGTGGAACTGCAATTCCTTCCTATTGTAACTCCACAAGCCCCGCCCATTTTCTGGGTTGTGTCTCAGATCGGTTTGATAGAGGGGTTTACGACTATATAGCAGTGCAGAAATTTTTTATTTACAAATGAATTAAAAGATGTCCACAAAGGAAGAATTGTCCATCCAGCTTTACGTGTTGGAGCCAGAGTTTGATCCAGAACCAGACGAGAACGAAGACCACCAAATTTTTAGTTTGAAAGTCCAAATCTTATTTAGAAGTTCTGTCACAAATACTGCGACACAATAGTTCAGAAAATGTAGTAGACAGTTGAGAAAACTGCTTTGGTCTGAATTCCTACTTATTGTCACTCCACAAGCCCCGCCCCTTTTCTGGGGTGTGTCTCAGATCGACTCGTTTTGAGGCTGTCTCTTTAAACGCAGCCCCCTCCAGCTTCCAGACCTGTTCATTCTAGAAGGGTTTATGACTATATAGCAGCGCAGAAACTTTTTGTTTACAAATGAATTAAAAGATGTCATCAGAAAAGAGTCAGAGTCTGACCCAGAAGTTGGAGTTGGAATGTCGCAAATATTTTGATGTAATAGCTCAGAAAACATAATAGAAAACATATAAAACTGAATAGGTTGAAAACTATGACCCAAACAGAAGATATACAGTATAAAGATATCTACGCAGCACCAGGAGACTAAATTCAACATTTTGGCAGATACAGTACTCCAAGTACGCAACAAAATGTATCTAATGGCTAAAAAAGTAGATTTTGCAGGATATGTCCTCTCTTTGTACTTCACTTATCAGTGAAATGCATTTTTACCAAAATCTATTTCTGTTAAGACATTTTTTACTTAGTTCTTTTTTTGAGTACTTCATAAACCTCTGATCAAAACTTCACAACCACCTTGGCCACCATCTGAAACACAAGAACTACGTCAGCATATAATATTCAGCTTTGATGGGAAAAGCTACATCCAGGCTGCAGAACCACTGCAAACTCTGCCTGTGTCAGCCCAGGGCTGAGGAAAACAGAAAAACTGGCATCGCTTCAGTTGGACGCTGCTAAATGCTTTCATCCTTACACAGATTCAGTTTCACGCTGTTTAGAAACGCGAAGCCTCTGCCAAACCCTACTCCTCTTTAAAAAAACAAACAAAAACAAAAACAACAACAAAAAAACAACAAAACAAAACAAAAAACTGCACCAACGACGGCCCCCCTACCTCTTTCTGGTGGTACTTGATTGCGAGTTTGAGCTTGGCCAAGTCGTGGCACTGCCTGGGGTCCAGTTCCTCGCTCTGGTCATTGTCCCTGTGGTTCAGGATGGTCTCCAGCTCTCTCGAGCTTCTGGCCTGATCCAGGAGGTCTTTGGCGAAACGCTTGCACTGCTGAGACAGCTCCTCGTATTCTTGACGAAACTCATTCTCCACCTGAAATATGGCCCATGCTGGACGTTACACAAGCAGGATGAAAGCTTTTGAAGCATTTAGGATGAGTCTGCAGACGCAATTAGCAATGTGCTAAACTGCTTTAAATTTAAAATGTTACCCAATATAAACACATCTAAAGTCTGGACTGTGGAAAACAGCAGATTTAGTCCTGTTAACTAAAATAAAACCTCCCCAAAAATAATGATTTCAACAGTTCTTGTGTTGCTGCATTAATATCACCTTTAGCACAATAAAAACAATGGTCCAGTGTCATTACTTCACATTTGCCACCTACACAGATCTTTTCAAAACTCTCTAGTTTGGGGGTGGTGTGTGTGTGTGTGTGTGTGTGGGGGGGGGGGGGGTAATAATTATATATTTTCCAGGTACATAGCTCAATTCTATATTACGATCAAGTAACTAACTATGTTGCCTTCAGTTGCTATAAAAATATTGTATATGTCAAAAGTAAATCTCTATCTCTTCAAGAACCTCCTACCATTTCTGACACTCCCACTTGAGCATGTCTTCACAACAGGGGGGGGGGGTGCTCTGTGGGGTGGGAGCTCAGCTGTAGACTGAGCTCCAGGGAGGGGCTTTGTGTAAATAGGCGGAGCTTTGCACCAGCAAGTATTTACGCAGCTACAGGGAGGAGCTTTGTGTAAATAGGCGGAGGTTTGTACCAGCAAGTATTCACGCGGCTACAGGGAGGAGCTCTGCGTAAATAGGCGGAGCTTTGTACCAGCAAGTATTTACGCAGCTACAGGGAGGAGCTTTGTGTAAATAGGCGGAGCTTTGTACCAGCAAGTGTTTACGCAGCTACAGGAAGGAGCTTTGCGTAAATAGTCAGAGCTTTGTACCAGCAAGTGTTTATGCAGCTACAGGGAGGAGCTTTGCGTAAATAGGCGGAGCTTTGTACCAGCAAGTGTTTACGCAGCTACAGGGAGGAGCTTTGTGTAAACAGGTGGAGCTTTGTACCAGCAAGTCTTTACGCAGCTACAGGGAGGAGCTTTGTGTAAATAGGCGGAGCTTTGTACCAGCAAGTGTTTACGCAGCTATAAGGAGGAGCTTTGCATAAATAGGCGGAGCTTTGTACCAGAAAGTGTTTACACAGCTACAGGGAGGAGCTTTGTGTAAATAGGCGGAGCTTTGTACCAGCAAGTATTTACGCAGCTACAGGGAGGAACTTTGGCCAAATGGACAGCTCCACATGGCTACCATGGCAGATTCAAAAATTTCTCAAACATGATTGAATGTGTCAAATTAACACTCTGGGCATGTTTTTTTTTAAACATGATATTAAGCTAAAAAAGGTTGATTTGCTTTTAAAACCTTTTTTTTCTCATTTAAATCATTCAGTTGGGGATTCTATATTTGGTGCATTTTTTTTCCATTAATAAACTAAAAAAAAATCTCAGCAGGGTTCAAAGCCGTACCTTGCTGAGTTCTTTGAGCTCCCAGCCCAGTCTGAAAGCCGTCAAGATGGGGTCCTCACTGGACAGCGCGATGAGGGAGGGCGAGGCCAGAGCCTTGTAGATGTTGAGTCGAGACCGCGAATGACGAAGGCTGTCGACCTGCAGAGGAAAACCAAAAATATATACGTTTCAAACGAAACTGATAAACCAACTGTTCTTGCCTTCTTTTGTTGGGAAATTAAATTAAAGCCAGTAAATCCAAACTGAAACAGAGCTCGTTCAGCAGTTTGACAGAAACAGTCACCTCTGAACTGGATACACACTCGACACAGTCGCATCGGATCTGGTGCGGTCTGGGGATGGTGACCTAAACAGAACATTAAAAATAAACAACATGTAAGGACCAACACGTGAAAACACAGAACTAAAACTGATATATTAGGTCAATGAGTGCAACTGAGTCATTACTTTTCTCTGGACTAGCAGCTTGATGATCTCGTAATTGTTGGTGTGAGCAGCGAGCATGATGGGAGTTATGTCAGGGGTGAACTCTGAGAACTGGCTGTCCATCATCAGGGAGGGAACCTGGAGGAAAAACAACTCATTGAAGGGATTTATGGATGAATCAGTGCTTCGTTCAAGTTGTGGTGAAACCCCTGATCCAAGATGGCCGACAAAAAGTAAACCAAAGCGTATGTTAAAGCAGTCAGAGGAGATGCAATCAAGATGGTGCTGAGAGTCAATTTGTTATGTGAGATCTGGATCTCTGTGCCTTCTACACGTGCCAAGTTTCAAGAAGCTCTGCCCGTTTGGGGACACGTTAAAGGTTGACAAGATGCCCAGGACACACCGTTTGGTAGCAGCTTAGGCCAAAAACAGTTGCTTCACAGCCCTAATTAAAACGGATGAAGTTCTTCCTCTGTGCCTTTTCCAGCCAGAAGAAGAGTGTCAGAAAAAGTCTATAAATTAAAGTGCCCGTGATGTCAATTTTTTTGTAATACATATAAATACATTTTTAAAAAGATGACAGTGATAAAGTATTGCAAAAATAAATTTCATGCCGCTGAGATGAACAGTTGTTGAGACATTTTGTAAAGTAACAGGAAGTGATGTCAAAGGGGAATGTCTGAATGTGATGAGTAGTACACAGACTGTAGAGAACAATCGGATGTTTCTTAAGATTCTTTTGAGTCTCTATCAGAGAGAGATGAAGAAGAGCCAGAGTTCAAATAGTATTGTTTCATTAAACAAAGACCAGAGAGTTTTCTTTTTTAATGAGTTCCCCTTTGATGTCACTTCCTGTTTCACTTTGAGTCAAGTTCAAAAGAAAATATGCCAGTTATTAGGCAAAATGGGTTAAATTGTGTGCATTATTCCAACTTTCTTAAATACAGTATAAAGATGTTTTCTTTGACTTGGGTAAATTTTGAGGATTTCTCCTTTTCATACGTGTTTTAAAACGCTATAATTTCTTCATTATATTTCAAAATCCAGGTGTGATGATGTAATGACGATAGGACAGTAGAGGGTAAATTTCTACTGTAGGCCAACTTCATACTGTTTCTACCGCCCTATGCATGTCACAGACACTTATATAT